TTCACATACTTTAGTGTAATACGGGGTGCCCACTACGGATGGGATCGGCCGATCCAGCTGTAGTGGGCACCCCGTATTAGTCAAGGTAATCACAAGTTGTTGTTTTTTCTCGATATTGACAGTAGTAGTGCAACAAACGAGTTCAGGTGTCCCCAACTTTTGCCAGTGCTGTTTTCCATTTGAATTTTTCTGCGATAGTATTATGCTCCTACTCCGGTTTGCTGAGGAGTTTATGTTGTTATACTAGCTGGGCCCCCTTTCGATGAAAGGAATGATCGGAGCATTAATATGATCAACTGAAAGTCATTGGCCTACTATATTTAACACTCTACTGGAATGGAGCAATTAATAAATCTTGAGAGAAAAGGGAAATATGTGTTTCCAAGTTGCCAAATATCTTAATAGATGCATAGATTGATTCTCTCTTCCGCTTTCGTGGTTGTACACTCCATAGTTTCAAAGATGTGGAATCAGTGGGCACGGCTAGTGAACGGAAACTTCACTTGTTTACAATGGCGTCTTAGAAGACGGACTTTCCTAATATTAGATCTGAACGAAACTAATGAAAAACCGAAAATTATACTGCAGTGACTTCAGACTCCTTAATATAAATGTGCACCCTTTAAATGATTCTGCACCACCACTAATTTTGTCAAATTCAAAAGTTAAGTGGTTCGGAAGTTTTAGGCCGCCACAGTGTGAACTTTCACAAACATAATATATAGAGATTATGTTTATTATTTTACAGCAACATACAACTTTTGATAACTAAATTCTATTTTATACGATACTAATTCTTTTTTTTTTTACCTTAATTTTTATGGACACCGTGAACATTTGATAGTTCAAGTACCGTATGCATAGTTACAATATACTTATTATTTATTGGAAACGTGATGTATCGATCTATTTTATTGCACTGCAATCATGCTTAACTATATAGGATGCAGATTTTAGAACGGGAAACACATTTATTTATAAAATAATCCCAAGATGAGCATCTTATTTTTAAAACAACTCGGGACGATAAAATCCCAATTCTGGAATTCATCATCAATTATGTGACGAAATTGTAACAAGTATTTTATTCTTTTTTATTCTGACAGAATTGGGTAAGATGTTACGGAATTGGAACTGCGATCGCGTTCGATTAATAATTTAGATAATTGTATTTCTAAAACACTATTCGATTAGCTGGAAAATCACCTGTTCTTATGCGAAGTATATATGGATGGGTAGGAATTTGCTCTATAAGTAATGCCTGAGTTACCGAAAGCTTTTCACTGACAAATAATATAAAATTAATATGAATTGATAATATTGGGTTGTATTGTACTACATGTACCTTGTCCTTGATTTCCACCCCCTCCCCGCTCTGATCCCATACCCCCCTGCCCCCCCCCTACACTTGACATTTGCATCTACTCCTCATTACCCCATCTCTCACCTTCTCTTCCAACCCTCTCCATCACCTTTTCTCTCCCAAAACTTCTTCACCTCCTCCAACCCCAACCCCCTCTAATCCCCTCACCACCACACAAACACACACGCACTCTCCCCCTCCCTATCTATCTGCCCCAACCACGCCCCAACCCACACTCATTTGACTCATCCTCTAACTAGAGCTGGGCGAAGAATCGAAACCGGAACCGGTTCCCACGATTAATTCTACGGAAGAAAAGTGTCGACTCCTTTTTACGTAAACCAACGGTCACCAGTTACCTTAA